AAGGATTCCTTGTTCATGCGTATTTTGGTGTTGTGTTTTGTGTGTATGTGCGTTGAGTGTTGTTGTTGTTGTTGCTGTTGTCGTCGTTTTTTTTTTCTCGCACGCGTTGGATTTTTCTTTAGGAAGATGCGATCGGTCGACCTCTTCGGAAAAGGGGTATAAACACAGGATTCCTTGAAGCTGACGAAGCGATGGACGCGACGCATTTGTTCGTGGCGCGGTTTTCAACCGGGAGGGCTGTGGTTTTCACCGAGAGTCATGCAGTCGGCTCAGTGGTTCCACTCAACAACCATATCGATGTTTCTCGGTATGTATGTGCTGAGGTTATGTAGCGAAAATCTTTCATGGCCTTCAGTTGCTTGGTGAGCTAGATCTGCAATACACGTTTCAGGCATACGTACAATTGACAAATCCATTGCAATTAAGAATGCAGATACATAACGCATCGCTGGCTGATCATTGGCTGAACACAATCCGAATGAACATGTTAAACATGTTTTTTGGCAATCTGTGCACTCCGCCCGTGAATTGGATGCAACAAATTTAGCGGGATTGAGCCACTTTTTTGTATGCCGTCCATGTTGTACCAATTGTTTCCTGATGTTTCCATTGATTGAGAATGACGTTTCTGGGGGATACTGATTGAACCAATTGTTTCTTGGCGACAAGATGAACATCTTCAAAACCAAAGTTACCCGGCTTTTCCTCTACAAATCCAACATCAACTAACACAGCAGTGCTTGTTGTTGGTCTTAGAAGACCATCACCAAGAACGTACTGCAATCAGTTTAACTAAATACCACCAATTCAGTGGTTTTCGGTGGGATTTCTGGTCTTTCAAACCCGGCACCGATCCTTCGTCGCTTGGCAAAGGCCTGGAATCCTGGCGCAACGGAACTTCATCGTCCGCTCCGTGGCCGAAGGTACGAGCCGCGGCGACTCCGCCGAGCGACGTGGGGAGAGCGGAAAGCGAGTCGACGGCCGCGCTGCCCGGAGGACAGGTATTTTTCCAAACGAGCTGGAATAAAAGACCTGTGGGTGTGGCGTTTGACCTTTTTTCATCCCAAAGATGAAAGAAACACCAGGCCAAGGCCATAAGGTGGTGTGTTTGGAGCCCCCCGCAAGTCGTCCAACTTCGATCTCACACCCGGAGCCGAGTTCTGGGCATCTTTTCAAGCAGCGAAGGCGTGCTTTCTCAGTGTTGATTCATGCTCCAACGCTCCACATGCGAAGACGCGTTCGGAACGCGGCTCCTGGCCTTACTACTAGCTAGGAGCAAAGGGCATCGCTACTACCCAGACGCTCCAAAGAGCCCTTGGTCCCTCAGGACTTAGGGATTTGAGACCCCAGACCCCTCCAGTCCAGAGGATTCGGGTCCGACCTCTCCATATGAGGGTCCATGAGCGTTTGGGTAGGAGCAAGAACGCTTCCGCCTCGATGAGGGGACTACGTCGTCAGCTTCGATGACGATGTCTCGGAGATTGCGTGGTATCAGACAGGCTCAGACCGGGCTACGGGGGCTACGGTATTTCCCTTGCGTTTTGTTAGGCATCTTTGGGAGGTTTCCCTATTGTCATATATACATAATTATTGATTCAGATCCCCCCATCATTTGGATTGTAAACCCTTTGCAACTGGTGGTATTTATTCATCAATATACGGTACATTAATTTATGCTGCTCACAAGACTGCCGCCGTTCCTCAGGCATTGTCGACCTTGGAAAACACATTTTGAGGTGCCCAGATGATAAGATGTTCAGTCAATGGTTCAATTCCCCGACCGTCCATGGAACCGGTATTTATTGCCTACATTGGGGTCATTTGAAACTGGGGTTTTCATGTAACTATTCCAGACATGGATGGTCTGAAGGAGCACCTTCTTGACCTGCATCTTCTTCCAACGGCGCCGCAAAAGCATGGCATACAAATGGTGCACCTGGAGGTACGTACTTTGTTGTTCCCTTTCAATCCCTAGGGCTCCAACTACCTTCTGAGAAGATGGTTGGGGTGGGTTTGGGGGGTCTAGCCACCTTCTGAGGATATGGTTGGAGCCCTGGGGAATATGGAAATATTGAATCAGCATATCCCAAACAAACACTCCGTTGGACTGCCATATATGCTGAGAAAAGGCCAGGGGCCGTTTGGGAGTCTTTCTAGGTCCCATTTGTCCTCTCTCGGATTCTCTGGGTATCGATCCAGATTCACACATCCAAAAAGTCGCATACACTACTCCAACGTATAGGGGTATAGTCGACCTAGGGTCGAGTCTATAGGGGACTACCCTACCCTACCCATTCAGTGGATCTCCTTGAAACCCTTTTTTGGGGGGGTATTGATTTCCTCACTCAAATTGCAAGAACCCTAGGGATCCAGTCGTGCGTCCTGAGAAGGTACTTGGACCCTCCTGGCACCTACATTAGCAGTCTCCGTCCTCACCGTACCTGACCAGGAAACGACTGGATCCCTTGTAGGGGAAGTGATTCGGTTCCTTCAGCGAACGCAGCGGGCTCCTCAGCCAACCACCTGTGACCTGTGGAGCTGTCAGGCGCCTTGGAGCTGAACCTTGGCCGAGGTTGGGAGAGCTGCGCGGTGCACGGTGCGAAAAAAACCGAAGTTTTGAAGAACCCAAGCCAGGTCGCTGGTCACCTCAGGTTTTCCAGGTCCTTTTTCAGACCACCTCAAAACATCGGAAATCAAACATGGACCATTTGGAGGATCTTACAGCTCCTACGATTCTCGTCCGGGATGAGTTGGATCTGCAGGGTCATATACAGTGGTTTCAGAGTAGATGGCACAGACCCCAAGATGTCCTTTATAGACGGGGGTCCATATAAACCACCTCTTGGGGTCTGTGCCATCTACTCTCAATCCTCTATATACTATATGCCGTGTGTTCCGAATCCCAGAACACTGCCCTGCCGGTTCCGCTCTCGCACCGGCTCGCACGTCTGACCCGACACGCGACGCGGTGAACACCGGTGCCAGCGGCCCGACGGGTCGCGGCGGGTGGTGACTCCGGTACCAAGACCTGACACGACGGCACCCCCACCTGGAGACTTCCCAGAAAGTGCGGCGGTTTTGGCATACCGAACCTGAGAAAGTGGGACTGGGGTGGTTTTGGAGGGTCCAGTCATACCGAACCGGATGAACGACTGGAGTCCCAAGGTTCAGGTGCCACAATAGGTGTCGCTGGCTGGACCCAGCCCACTACTTGTCTGGCATCGACAGGACACCCAGATTGTCGTATGGTCCTACGAAAATGGCACATGCACCCGAACCGATGACTTTCCGATGTTCAAACTGGGTCGACTCTAGGTACATCAAACGTGTTTCCTTGCCAAAAACCCTCTCAAAGGGTATGGATTTTGTTGGTGGGGGACTTGCAGACAGGTCCGAGCTGTACGACCTTGTGGGTTTACACAAGAGGTCCGGGTCAGGACGGATTCCTTTGCTGCTGGTTCTCGTTAACCGTTATAGGCTATAGGTTATAGTTATTGTTGTATAGCTGGCGGTTGGGCTTTTAGTTGGTGATTCGGTGATTCTGGTGTGTCCTCGGAAAGACTCAGATAACTTGTGAACAGATACCGGACAGTAGTTGTTTTTTTTCACCAGCCTTGCTTATTGCTTCTCTAAGTACGTACTTACATGGCTTTTGCCAGGATGTCTTGAAGATCATGCTGGCACTCTTCTTGAAGGTGTCGTAAAGAATCTACCGCTTTGTCAGGTGTTCAACAGTTCCCAAGCACTCCATGACGGGCATGTTTGCGATACTTGCCGATAGGTTGGGATGGTTTCAAGTTTCAAGGGACAATGTAGGCAGGCATATGTGTATATATATTATAATACATGTAGTGTTTGGGGCTGCTAAAACTGCAAGTCGAGGCGCTTCTCGGGTAGCGCCTCGGCACTGGGAACTCGACTGAAGGTACGGGAACTCGCATGGTTGTGAGCCCCAAACTCACTTGACCAAGGAGGCCTTTGCCTGAAGGCAGTCTGGAAAAGACACTTGCCTGGAGAGGGAGGGGTGCAGCGAGTGTCGATTGTGAGGTCATGAACCTGCTCAAAACATGAACAGGAGGGGGTGGCCAGCTAATGGAGCCAAACCAAACGACAATATTGTTCAACGGCCAACGGTGTATTTGTTTGTTTTCCTTGTGGGGGAAGGCGCTGTGGTGTGCTCTCACCTTCCAGTTCGTTTCATGAAGCCAAACAACACTTGAACCACCAGATTGGTTCCAGCTTCCACCAAGCCAAAGCCAGACAGCCCATGCCAATCTGAAGCTATTTTGACGGACACCAACTGTGTCAGCAGAAGGTACAACTCATTAAACAAGCTTGGATTTTCCTGTTGTTTTCCTATTCCTTTTCCTTGACATTGCATTGGTATCCTGCTCGCTCGCCTTTCCTCCTGCGGCTCCTTTCTTTGTTGTGTATGATGTCATTTTCCTTGCAGTTCCTTCGCTATGTCCTTGTCCTTTGCTTGTCTCTTTGTCTATTTTTGGTGTGTCCTGACTTGACCTTGTTTTGGCATGAAGTGTGTGTTTGTTGTTCTTTCCTTTTGTACTTTTGCTTTGCCGATTCCTTTGCTTGCTCTACTTTGAAGACGAGAGAAAGGGAAACACATGCCCAGACAAAACAGACCAAAACTGAAGCTGCGAAGCCCGACGAAGTTCGAGCAACTCCCATCTTTGAATGGGGTCGATGTAGTTTGCCTGCCGCGCGTAGACGGCCGTGGCATTTCGACTATACATTTAATTTGTGGAACAAACCGACCAATGTTGGATCTTAATTAGCATAACCCGTCCCCCCTGTAGCAAACAATTGAGGGAGTGTTCAGAAACCTTACCACCGAAAGTAGTGGTGGTAGTGGCAGTAGCAGTTGTACTCGTACTAGTACTAGTCCTTCCAGTACTGGTACTATAGCACTAAGTACTTGTTTGGGGCAATGAAATCGATCAGCTTTAACAAGGGGTTTGAAAGAAGGTGTTCAGGTCAGAGTTCCGTGAATCAAGCAAAACGTCGTAGTAGTCGTAGTAGTAGTAGTAGTAGTAGTAGTAGTAGTAGTAGTAGTACTCAGCTGCAGAACAAGCAGATGGACGTTGCTGAGCTGAAGAGACAGTTGGAGAGCGTGATCTCTTAGCTTGCCTGCAAAGCTCTGGCACTTTTAGGAGAGGGATTGCCCGCACATGGTCACCAGAGTCCTGAGTGACCTAGCCACTGGGCACCGGTTCGAGAAACATTTAAGGTTCCGGCAGATTCCTGCAGTTTCCACAAAAAATCACCGAGCCTTCCGCAGTGATTCTCTGGCGCGCTCCCCCATCATCGGCTAGGGCCTTAAGGGAACAAGGGGCATATCAAATGTTGCAACGCTCTTTGGGTTGGTCCACACATGCTCATTTTGGAACTTTGACGAAACACAATCCCCAAGTGTCTTTGGAGACACGTTAAGTTGAGTTGGAGGGATTTTCACTGTTTTTAACAGACGTAGAACCAAAGAGATGTCATTTCGGCCCCACAGGAGGATTGCATTCAACATTTTTTGAAAGGGCGTCAGGGTCATTCACAGACCCATTGAACAAACATGTTTCCATGGAACCATGATGCTCAATGGGACTGGTGATATTCAAAGGAACTGGTTTAGATGAATTACATATTTATGGTGTGTTTTCTTTTTACATGGTGTGGATGTCCCGATCTTTTTTGCGGGGACACACCATCACCACCCACAAGCAAACCACGAAACGGACACGCCGACGGGGTGGGGCGGAGTCCGATGCGGATGAGGTTGATTTTCTATGGCCACAGCCCGGGTGCCAAAGCTGTCCTTGGTTTTGCAGGTGAATCCCCTGGCATGGGGGTGAGTCTTTTTGTTTTTACCCCCAATCCTGGACAGCTAATCCAAACAAACCTGTTCCGACGGACCAAAAATAGAATCGGATCGAATTCTTTCGGTCGACGGAGATTGGGTGAGAGGTGAAAGGGGGCGGATGAAAAAACTCTTCGGGGAACCAAAGCATTCAGGAACCCAACGAAAAGAACGTCAAAAGACCTGGGGCCCGACTTCGAGTCACATGAACCATCGCATGCATGGATGGGGGATGGGTTTCGTGAACTTGAAGGTGATCCAGTCTCAGGTTCGGCACGACTGGACCCTTCGTTTTGCGACATAGCAGTGTCGAACACATCACCGTACCTGAGGTTCGGTACGACTGGATCCCTAGGGATAGTTCCTCGGGATGGCCAGATGCTGACTGAACAGGAACATGTTTACATGCATGCCAAAAGTTCATCAATGCGGCGGTGATATATATATGGGCTTGTCTTTTTTTAAGGTGTCCAGTTTATGTAGGGCTGGGATGTTCGACTTAGGCGAAGCATACCCCGAAGCATACCCTGAAGCATACCCTCTGGAAATGCTACTACTTTAGTCTTCACACTGCGCGAAGCATACCCCGAAGCATACCCCCGAAGCATACCCCATAGTCAAACATCCCGACCCGGGAACCTTAAAAAAATACAAACCCATATATATATATATACCTAGAACCCATATGACCTTTGTTTTGATAGGTAAAGACCATGTTTTGACTCCAAAACAGGGGTCACTCAGGTTCTAGGTATATATATCTTACTGTATATCAAAGTGAACTCTAGCAGTACTTGTCATGTTTTTTCCCACTAAGTTTGTCTCTAAGGGAAGAGAGCCTGAAATCATTCAGTAGTGTTCAGGAGATGGCATCAGTCATTCGCCTGCTGCAGGTGCTAAACATGTGTCGCTGCCCAATTTTTTGGGGACCACATGTACCTTTACAGCCAATACCGGAAGAAAACCTAGGGTTCTCCAAATACCTAGGGTCCCGGCTGGCAGGGTATGCAGTTCGTCCGGGATCACCTTGGAAGACCGAGATACATCGGTTTGTCAGCCTGGGCGATGATTGATCCCAACGAGTAGCAGAGAAGAGACACCCTGGGGTCTCGGAACCACATGGTGAAAACCACCGGGTTGGTATTCGGAAAATCGTCTTCCCCTCAGGTCCATGCCGAGCCCGGTCCCCTTTCTGAGGGTCTCAGGACCCGAATCGTGTGGGATGGATTGGCGCAACGTTCATGTTCAATCATTCTGAACGATATCCCACGATCCATTCGGGAAGTGCCAACATCCCGTAGCTGAACTGTATGATGAGACGGGGTTGTTTCTTAATACCCCCCCACCAATGGGCTGTGGTCTGTTTTTCTGCATTGGACATTCAATTCGTGATGCACTACCCAGGCCACCGGAACCGGACACAATGCATTGACTAAGTCCGTACTCCCCCAAAATGGGACCCTGTTTGTGTCTGTTCGGGTCATGTCCTGTCGTCCACCTACGTTTGTTCGGGTACGTTCGGGGTATGTGACATATTTCTATGCCTTCTCAGAAGGTAATTGGACCCTCAAAGCCTACATAAATAGTCTCCAATCACCTTCTGAGAATGTACTTGGATCCCTAGTGTATGAAGTTAATGGATCCTCGTTACATTGAATCTACACTCCGACTCACGTTCCATGGTTACGTGGATGGCCTGGCCCCGAGTTCGGAAGACCATGAAATCCACGAACCAAACAGGTGGTGAACTCCACTTCCATGTTAGTTTTCGGGAGTGTAGATGTTTGGGGTACATGTGTCATCATTTGTCTATGATCCGAGCTTCACACCCGCACCAGAATTGATGCGCGAGAACGGCGCCTACATCTGGGGGTCGGGAAGCCCGGCCTCGAGAAGAAGAATTCCGGAAGGTACGAAGTGGAGGGTATAGTAGTTTTGTGGTGTTCTGCCAAACATTTAGTGTGAGGGTTGTAGACGATGTTTCTTGCTGTGAAGCAACCTTGCTATAGATGGTTCCGTTGGTCGAATGGAGAAGGCAACCGGCTGAGACGGAAGAACATACTGCGCCCGGTCCTTGTTGATCCTTATGATTAGTGTTTGTTTGTCTAAAGTTCAAATTGATCCACACACGAACACAGGCGATAATTCTAAACCTGCTCCATATCAGAGACATGTTTGGCGAGTAGAAGAAAAGGCTAAGATTGTTTGGTCGCACAGAGGTAACAACGACCAAACTTCGAAGGGCTAGTTGACTGGACGTGGCAAGGGCCTCAGGACAAACCGGAACTATCGTCCCTGGTGATGAACATTTACTCCTTTGCCAGCAGGGAAGGCGGTTGAGGGTTTCAAACCCAGACGCTTCATTCATTTATGCAAGTTTGGCCTGCTTTTGGTGATTTTTAATTTTTGGTTGCTTTTACTATTCTTATTTGCTTATATGGAGCGTTTGGGAAGTGTTTCGTCTAAGCTGCTTGCTTAGCCGAAATGAAACTGGCCTATTTACGGACCAGTTGAAGTGGTTGAAAAGAGGTCGGGGCCGCAGTTATTCCAGTCCCGTGGATGGTCTTCCTTATTCAAAGGTGTTTCTCTTTGGGAGGTCAACCTCCGCATCCAGATACAAGCTATATAGGCAAATAGAAAGAAGATGGTCGACCAGTTAGACCAGTTCAAGTGGAACAAACGACAGCCAAGCAACGGAGTTTGGATGTGCTCATAGACCAGCTTGGTTGAGTTGATGTTGCATGCGTTTGTGGGGCCAGCAAGCGGACACTGGACAAGTGCGTTTCCCAACCTCCTTGGAGGTGAAGGACACCTGACACCGTGGAGGGTAACCTGCTATGATTCCCAGGAGACCCAGCAGAGTCTAGCCCATCGACTAGTGTAAAGAGTTCACAATGTTTATTAGTGGCATGATATAGCTTGGCCAATTTTGGATTCAGTACCGTATATATGAATTATCCCTGAGATGAGAGGGTGGGCCTGGGCTGCGTGCCAGGAGGGGGGTCCAGTCATACCTTCTGAGGAGGTACGACTGGAGCCCTAGGGTTTACAATATACATATATGCATATACATGGTGTGCTTCGATTTAGGTTGCCTGCCTGCCTGTGGGAATCGAGGAGTCGAACGATCAAGAAACACATCACAGGCTGCGATGGTTTGTTGCGCCCAGGCGGCGGTGAAGTGTCAATTTCTGTCTAAAGGTCTAAAACTATCAAAAACTACCAGCCTAAAGGGTGGTTTATAGACCCCCCTGAAGATGCTCTTCCATCTAACCACCCCAACTGGGTGGTGCTGGTAAGAACATGGGTAGAAATGGATCGTCTACTGATCGTGCCATTGAAAGTGTGTGCCATGTCCGTGTCCGTCTTTGAGCTTCAAACGACCCGTCGGTTCGACTCCAGAACCCACCCGGTCGACCCTTCGAGGTTAAACCCTTCGATGTTGGGAACCTCAGAGTGTACGGGATGAGTATGACACCACGACGGGGCCCGGTGGGACCGTATTGGGACGACCGGGGCCGCCGGACCGGGTCCAGTTAGACCGAACCCGAGGAGGTCACCTGGAGGTGTAGGGTTGGTGCGTGGGACATGTCTTCAAGCCCTCATGGCTCCACAGAAGGTTGAATCAAGAACCCAGTCGTCTATCCATGTCTATCCTCTCCCATGACGGTACACCGGGCTTGTGACGGGTCCGTTCGTTCAGGTCAAACCTCTCTTGGTCATCCATTCCGGTTGAAGGCCGGCCATCCCAGAAACACCCATGACTCAGTACCGGCGGTCCGGGCCCGGCGACGGACCAGGGACGGACACCGAAAAAAACGGTCAGTGACCAAGGTGAAGATGTTGGAGATAGCAAGGCCTGCAGTTCTGCATCCACTGGGTCCTGGTCATAGGATATTGGTTGATGTAGAGATAGCAGCAACCCTCCACTGGGCCCTGGTGGAGAGGATGGGTGATGATGATATGATGTTCCTGGTTCCTGGGTGAATCCCCCCTTGTTTGGTCCTTGTTCCTAGTCCTGGACTGCAAATCCTCCGTTCAGGTGACCGTTTCCTCCGTTTGTTGAAAGGCCCTCCACACCTTTCGAGGTTTCTCACTTGGGCTGAAGCACATGGAGTCGCCTCAGCCTTGAAGCAAAGAACCAAACGAAGAGCTACCTTTTTGACCAACCCTTCATTATGAGGCTGAAAACGTTCAGTTCCAAGAGAGGTTGAGGGACCTGAACTAGGACCCTGGTCTGTGGTACATGGGATGGGCGGAAAAAGGGCTGTGAACAACTTCTCTTGGTTGCTTGCCCTATAGGGATACACTGCCACCTTCTCAGCTTTAGACCCTCCTACCCCAGAAGGTTCATGTACCTGGACATACCTGGACCCTTCAAAGTTGTTTGTTTGTTTCTTTTTAAGGACATGTGACATGACACTATCAAAGCAGGTGCTTGCACTCATTTTCCGAGGTACGAACAGGTCTTTCCTCCAGGTAGAGAGAAACACGTATCGACCGAAGCGTTGAAGTGATGATTTGTTTGAGTTTCCCCCTCCATATCTAAACAAGCCCAGACCTCTAGCTTGACCTGGACACCCGGAAAAACTGGACCTCTTTGGTAGCTTTCTGCCACCCCACCAACATCGAAACAGCTGAGTTCCTTTCTCCCACTCCCCGCGCCGACGCGCCGCCCCCCGCTCGCGCGGCGGGATGATGCAGGAACATCCGAAATCTTTGGTCCGACGGGATCAGTTGTCGGAATGGCGAGATCAATGGCTTTTGCCCGGGAGACTCAGTGGCACTGCACTGGGTTGTCGTTCGTCTCGAACTTCCGAGTGATGCCTGGAGTCGAACCTAGGAGGGCGGAACCTAGGAGTGGGAGGGTTCAAGACCCGCAAAATGAGGTGCCAAATGCGGTACACCGAGGAGTGTGAGGTTCCAGTACCGCAACATGTGTGCCTTTTCCACACCAGCCAAATTCGGCAGAAAGTCTACACATCCTGACAGGAGCACGCCTGACCTCCATTAAGCACTTTGGAACTGCTGGTCATTGTAGCATTTTGCATCTGATTTGAAGGATTTGAAGGAAGTCGGGTTGAGGTGGTGAACAGAGGGTCCGGATGGCCAAGGTGACCAAGAGAAGAGTCCAACGAGCAGGATTCCTTAGTTTAGTACGTTCTCCTTGTTTGTTGTCGTGCATGTTGCGCCATACCGATGCCGATGAGAAATGTATGTCAGGATTGGCTACAGGTTGGGTGTGTCCCATTACCAGTAACAATCGGTAAAAGACTATCGCTATCAGGGTACCGTTCTTGACTAACCATGGTCATCCACTGTTGCACTGGTCATGGGATATACCCAAGCTACAGGTCCTTGACCTGTTTGTTGATGTGCTTTGTGATGATCAATTACGAGATTATTTGAATCTTGCTTCCGAAGGGTGTGCTGAGGAACTCATTGTTTGATTTGCAGGATGAATCAACGTTGTAAGATGTTGGATTGAGACAAGGATGGACCCTTGCCATTCATAAAGGTAGTCTATATAGTTATATATATATATGCCTTTATTGCATTAATTCTTGATTCGTAATCTTACCCAGCACATGCATGTCTTTTTGAACACCTGTTTGGCAGCTGAACCGGTCTGGCAGGAAGCGAGGACGACGACATCATCCATCTACCATGTTTTTGGGGATTGGGAGTACAGTTATAGGATGTTGGATGTCCTCAACATAAAAGAACCACTGGACGAAAGCCGCGTGCTTGGTGGCTGCTTATCCCTGTTTCCAGCTGGAATGCTTCCTGTATAATATATTGCCATAGTAGTTTTGAGGAGCAAAAAGATCAACATATTAATGATGCAACATGTTTGGACTTCGGGCCAGGATACCAGACAAATCACATATCCGATTTCACTCTCCCATCCCGGATAGACACCGACAAGCCTTAGTCTTCTTTTGCCGCATCAGGCTATGGCTTTTTGAACCGCCACGCCGAACGCTTACTGCCTCGCGTCAGCGATGCCCTCGAGGAGAGCCTGGATGTGGAACAGAAGAAAGCCAGTTGGATGTGTGTAGTGTTTCTAATTGCAGTAAAAGGTCTAATTGCAGTAACGCTGGAACTTCCAAACTGATATAGCTCTTGTTCTCGCATGGATCTAAGTGTGTGTTTTGTTTTTTAGGTGTGTTGCTTTTGTAATAGAGAGGTCTCCCACCAATAGGCCGACTGGTCTAGATTCTCTTCTTCCAGGAGTCTTTGGGTATCCCATGGACGGGCAATCCAGTGAGAAGCAGGTCTAGACGTCCTCCGAAAATGAACAACAAAACAACCGCCTGGGTCTTCAGTTCGTGACCGAGCTTGATCCCATGCAGTTGGAGTGTCACATATATATAGGAGCCCGAGTGACCCCTGTTTTGGAGGATCAACTATCCAAAATATGGTCTTTTCCTATCAAAACAAAGGTCAGTCAGGCTCTAGGTATATATAATATCTTGTCATGGGCCTGGAAAAAGGACAGAAACCGGGACTCCGGTCTCGCACTGAAGAAGCTGGGCTTACCTTTTTAAAGGTGTAAAGCTCAGTGTGCCTGCCCACTCAAAACGAGGAACAACCAGCAGGATCCGGCTGGTGGTCGGCGGTGCTGGTTCGGGTTACCGGAACCGGCTGCGCCCCTGTCACATCACATCCGGAATTGCTTCATGGGACGAGAAAAACGCACCCACCCAACTCGTAACTCCGGGAGCCTCCGGGAGCTGCAGGTCCGTGACCTAACTTGCAGTGGTTTGGGAACGCTCACGAACCGTTCCCGGACAGGTCCGGACGTCCAGAGGTCGAGAGGAAGTTCCAAACACGGTCCAGACGGTGGTGCGGTTGGTCTGAGACGGTTTTGGGCTGAAAGCGATCTGAAACCATCCATCTCCAGCCTGGGCAGTCAGAAACACTGGACTTGGCAGCGGCGAGTTGGAGACAGAGGGGATGATGACATGATGTTTTGTTTGGGGAAATGGCCACTAATTATAGAAGGACGACTGAGCAGGTGATGGGGTGAGTTGAAAATCCCGGTTTTCACCAGATGGAACATCTTCAACCGGACCCTCCAAGGTACCTTAGCGAGTACGCCAGGTCTGTTTTTGTTGACTGAACTTGAGCTTTGCGCCACGGATGCTGATACTCCGAAGACCTCTTAACTCACAGTCACCATATTCCTTTGGCAAGTTGCCTCCCCCAAAAAGATGCGCAAAAACCGATACAATAAAACGCCTAGCCTATACCTGACAGACTGCTCCTGGTGCTGTCTCTTCTGGCTCCTCGCAGGATGCGGAGCGCTCCCTACGGTTGGGGCGCCTATAGTCAGAGATGGGTCGTGCCGCAACCCCGGTCGTGCACGAAGTCAGACGGGCGCAGCAGACCCAAATCGTGAAAACGAAGCGTTATCCCTACCATTCCCTACCCTATAGGCCTCCAAGTACCTTTTGAGAAGGTGTTTGGGGTGGGTTTGGAGGGTCCAGTCATACCTTCTGAGGAGGTACTTGGAGGTGTAGGGAATATAGGACAATATTGCACATGTTGTCAAACTGTCTCTTGTGATTGAACCCTCTGACTATAATATCTTTCAAGTGGGCTGAAAACAGTAACCAGCCAGCAGTCACAAAGGGGTGCTTAATGGAGGTTAGGGGTGCCCATTATCCACTCACTGGATGGGACTAAACACCACCCCTTTGTGACTCCTGGAGGTTATATCTATTTGGATCCACATACCGAACCTGAGGCTCATGGTGAGGGTACACACGGAGGCGGGCCTGGAGTCAGGGCCTTGGATCGGTCATTCGTCGTACCATTGGGTGCGGTCATTCGTCATAGGGAAGGTAGACTCTTGATGAAGAAAAACCCGCCATTTGAATTGAACATCCTTTTCTTGGTGATGAATGAATCAGAGTTTACAATTACTCAATTCAAATTAGACACCACCCCTGGTGTCGATTTCCTGGTCTGCACCGGACCTGTTTTCACAGGTCGAACGACACAACGTTCGACCCGTCGACCTCTCGGTGTTCTGCCCGAAGATGTGGGTCATGTATAGACCCGGTCCAGGGATCATCTCAATGGCCTATACCCTAGGGATCCAGTCGTACCTTCTCAGGTACGGTGATTGGAGACTATTTATGTAGACTTTGAGGGTCCAATTACCTTCTGAGAAGGTATGTGGATCCCTAGGGAATGGCTATAGTCCAAAGATTTGCCTCCAGTTGTTTTGCAGAAAGATGGATGGCGATCAGGCAACATAGAGTTTTTTGGTCCAAGTCGGCGCAAATAACCTTTCTCTTGGGATTGGTTTCCCCGCGAAACATGATTATACATATGTTTACCAGGACCTTCAAAGTGACCTTTTGAGATCCCAGAATGAGGTCACTTAGTCCCTGAAAAGGTCACTTACAGACTCCAAAGAGGTCACTTTGAAGGTCCTGGTGCCTTTGTTTTCCATGGAAACGGCTTGAGAGTCAGAAGCCGTCAGTGGACACATGAAATCCCGATGCCAAGGTTCTTCAAAGAGGCACGAGATCGGTCAACCGGGCGCAGATCGGTCAACCGGGCGCAGATCGTTTCAGAAAACGACGCGAATTCAGGGGCCTTGGTGCGGCATGGATAGGGTCCTACCCCAGACACTCCATGGGACTGCCATATTTGCCGATCAGTTTGGTTGGTTTGGGGGGAAGTGAGGATGATCTTTCGCTTCTGAAGGTGAAGAGGAGCCTGCCCTTTTTTCCTTTCACGAATGCTCGTCATGCAAGGATCCCTGACGGTTGGATATTTTGTTGAAGGAGAGAAGGTTGTTTTGATATGTTTTGATCATATATATATATAACATATATGTCTGACCCACAGGGCGTTGCAACTTGAACAGTTTTTGTGTTTTTGCCAAAACCCTTCAAGTTTGTTGAATTGGCCTGATTTTGTTATTTTATGCCACCTTATTTGTTCGACATGTAACACCTTTTTCCCCACCTGTCAGGTGAGGGTTGTTAGTTGTTAGATTTTACGTCAGCCCCATCTCCTCCTTCTCCTTCTCCTTCTCCTCCGCGTCCTCCTCCGCCTCCTCCGCCGGACCTCAACCACGACCATCCGCGCCCAGTGTTCCCTCCAGGCCCAAGTGCTCCCTGTCGGACCTCAACCACAGGACACAACCACAATCACAAACACACAATCACAAACACAACCACAAACACACAACCACAAACACATCAACCACAAACACACAACCACAAGCACACAACCACAGACACAACAACAAACACAACCAGAAACACACAAACCACAAACACAACACCACAAACACACAACCACAAACACAACCACAAACACACAACCACAAACACAACAACAAACACACAACCGACCACAAACATAACTAACAACAAACACACAACCACAAACACAACCACAAACACAACCACAAACACACAACCACAAACACACAACCACAAATACACAACCACAAAAACACAACCACAAACACACAACCACAAACACACAACCACAAACACACAACCACAAACACAACCACAAACACACAACCACAAACACACAACCACAAACACACAACCGCAAACACACAACCACAAGCACACAACCGCAACCACACAACCACAATCACACAACAACAAACACACAACCATAAACACACAACCACAAACACGCAACCACAAACACAACAACAAACACACAACCACAAAAACACAAACACAAACACAACAACAAACACACAACCACAAACACAACCACGAACATAACAACAAACACACAACCACAAACACGAACACAAACACACAGTCACGAGACACAACCACAACCATAAGCACAACTACAAACACACAATCACAAAGACACAACCACAACCACAACTACAAACACACAATCACAACCACTACCAGTATCACAAACACAATCACAAAGACACAACCACAACCACAACTACAAACACACAATCACAACCACTACCAGTACCACAAACACAATCACAAACACACAGCCACAAACACAACTGCAAACACATCCACAAACACACAATCACAAACACACAGCCACAAACACACCATCACAAACACAACCACAACACAGCACACAACCACAACCACAACACACAACCACAGCACACACATCCCGAGGACCCACAAGCAAAATCGACAACTACAATACTCACGACAATGGCAACATGCTCCTCACTATGGCATCAAGACAAAGGATTGAATTGTCATGGTGGGGATCACTCGAAGTAAAGTAATTTTTGTTCCGCTGAAGTATATAACGATTGAACTTTACCATTCATAAGAAGAGATCCACCCCACCGAAGCGCATGGTTCGAACGCCGCATGGTTCCGAAGACAAAAAAGACATCCCGAGGGTCGAACGCTAACCGTGCGTTCTCACGACGTGGAGATCAATGTTGCGAAACTGCGAAACCAATGTCTCGTACGGGGACTGGAAGAACCGGGACTTTTCGAAAAGGTCCGATAGGAAAAGTGGATAGTCTTCAATAATAGTCTTCAAACTTTTTTGAGGGGTTGGGGGGATCTCCACTAAACATGAAGACGCGAAACAAACTGGAACCGCCACAAGAATCCTCAAGAATATTGGCAATTGAAACTGGACGGGACCAGATTCTTAGGGCGAGATTCGTGAACAATGGCATGCGGCATAAACAACAATTGGTTTCTTGAAGAACAAAACTTCGTTTACAGCATGGTTCATCCATATTCATCCATTAATACAATATTTTTAAGGGCTTACGCCCGGCAGCCGGCCAGGGGCCCATCCATGTATGACACAGCTTGCAGAACATCCATTTGCTGACGCCAGCAGAAAGTGCCACCGGATATACTGTGGCAAAAGCACACGTTCTAGCTCTGCAGCAATGCAGAGAGGGAGAACTTGTGCCTGATGGTCAGCAGGTTGAATTGGCAAGGAGCTTTGTGGCTTTTACCCGAGCAAAGGGGCATCTGTGGATTTGGGTTCAAGCACTGGAGCTTGCAGCTGGTGAATGGACAGCAAAGCTGCAGCAAGCTGTTGGAGGCACTTGCCACATGACTTGCATGGTCTGCGGACTGGCAGCTGCTGCGCCAAGCCCTAGCGGCCGAAGCAGCGGCACCCGCCTCGCGCGGCGCCGCCAGCGCCATATGTGCTCTACGTGGAGGACTCTTGTCTTTGCCGACTTCGTCCAAGGGAGTTTTACGTGAACAATACGGCTGATGACTCTGTTAAGAAAGACGCTTTTTTAGAGTAGACTCTAGATTATTTCTTAACTATAACCTTTTAATTAAGAAATGCGGCTAGCAGGTAGACTCTAAATAAGGTTTCTTATTCTATTTTCTCTCCCTCGAGCTCTAAATCGCTCAACCGCATCGCTATGCGCATGGTCTTCGACTTCTTCGACCCGTATCCGCGGATGTTGTATCATGTTCTATCATGGTATAATGCTCAAGAATCTGAGATGAGGGGAGGGAGGGAGGGAGGGAGGCTCAAAGTTGAAGGCTGTGATGGGACTTCTAAAGAGTTTTAGAACAGTTTCAGACCACCCGAGAGGACAGGTTGGGGACAGTGTTTTTTGAAGCAGATTTAAACAAAGTGAAGCTTTTGCTCTACGTACGTATCATGGAAAGGGGTCATAGATGATGTCAAGTTTGTCATTTTACACCTGCACCCTGGAGATCCAAGGGTCATTGTCTAAAAGCGGATGTTTGATCGCAAGATTAAATAATGCGGCCCTTGTGCCGCGTCATTCCATGTGGGGTCTGTAAGTGAGATACGTACGGGGGTCTACAGGATAATGAAGGCTCGCTTTTAATTCGGTACCATTATGGTCGTAATTCGGTGCGTCCAATAGTACCTATTTGCGGCCGTAGTGGTACCGAATTAAAAGCTCCTCTTCATGCATCCACTCCATGTTCTCCAATAACTTCCGATGACCATCAGTGACCATATCACTTTTGCAGCTCCACATGCGTTTTGTGCTGACGGTTCGGAACTTCAGGTTTTTGAGCCAAAAATGTAAGTTCTGAACCTTTTTGGAAGCAAAGTGGCACCACGGATGTTGTATAACTTCAACATCCAGCGCACGGGCGAGGCATATCTTTTCAGCAGCCAAAGTTCCAGCCACTTTATGACGGGTGAATCTCTAGTGCGTTGTTTGAAGGGCGCGGAGTCACCAGCATTTGAGATGCAAAGGCGTCGGCTCTTTGTGAGCCATTCTGATCGTGGATTCATGCTGCAAAGGACCTTGCTTAAAATGGGCTACGTTTTGTCAGAAAAACATTAACATTAACCCAAATGACGCCAAGGAACACCCAAATTTGTCTACAATGTGTTAATTGTTCTGTAATCATTCCCATCCCCACACACAGGCCACAAAAAAAAATCAACAAAAACATGCGATAAACCCAGGCAAAACATACAGTTTACCAACGATATTTACACGGTTTTGCGCGGACTCACCTGCAAAACATTTATATTTCCGCTGTTTTTGTAGCATTGCAACATATTGTTTATGTACTCGAACATATCCAAAAACACCATAATTTACAGTGTTTTACGCCTTCGCGCATACCGAAAACACATCCCAACTTCTGCTCCAAACGCACCTGCTAGACGGCGGGCGTTTTCACCCGAAACCAGCACAGCTCACGTGCCGAACGTGTGTCCGTGCGGTTCCGAACGGGTGCCGGGCACTCTGAAGAAACAAACGAAGATGACGGCTCCGGGATGGACAATCCCCAGACACTCCATGGGACTGCCATATATGCCTACATTGACCCCCAAAACCACCCCAATGTAGGCATATATAGCATACATGGAGTGTCTGGGATCCATCACAAACAACCAATCCATCGATCACCCAAGCAAAGCATACAGATTACGCAAAGGCTCAGGGTAGGGAGGGGTATCCTATATCCTATACCGATACCGGTCACACTTAACAGAACACTTATCCCCCACACCCACGCCTGCCCCACTCGGTTTACGCGTATAAGCATACCAGTCATGAGTGCGGTTGGTGGATGAAAATTTCGATTTATGTTTTTCCTTGAGGTTGAACCCTCGTGGCTTGACATAATATCCAGCATGCTTGGCCAAGTCTTCGAAGATGCTGATGCTTGATGTTTTGGGCAGGACAAGATCGTGTTGCGCTACAGGACTGTCAAGGTCAAACACGGCGGGAGTACCACAAACGTTTTTGTTTTTCACTTGTATCCTTTTCCTTGCACCTGACTTTTGGCAGGGGTCCGGGCCCGAGCCCTTCCCCTTGGAGGGCCCCGGATTCTCAGGGTACTTGGACAACTGTTATGTGCTCATTGGAGTTTGCTGCTCAGATATTCTACACCCACGAATCCATGTTTGTAACTTGGTCCTTCAACCTTACAACATGGCCCTATTCGACAAGATCGAGTCTCATGAAATCATTGATATAGTTTGGATTTACAATTATCTATATATATATATGTTTAGGATAAAATATTCTCACAAATGCAACCCCGTCTTTGCAAACCCCCCTTTTTTTGCTCTCCTTCCCTCAGCAGCGCAACCATCTTCAGACGTGGACTCTTTGCACCAGGATGTACACTGGCATCACCAAGTGTTTCAAGTTCGAAGAAGGCACTGCGAAGGGCGCTGCGCGCACTTATCTTCAGGGGTTGTCCACTTCCGTTGCAGGGAGAGTAGTTGCAATTCTCGGAACGGAGCACGTAGAGCCTCCGTGGCAGACGGTGCCAGAGATGGCCAGGGTTAGGATGATGAACGCCCTGACACGTCGTGTAGGTATTTCCGAGTGATATTATCAACATGTTGATGCATCTTGCATGCTCATTTAGAGGTGCACAAAGTATGTCATTTAAATTTCATTTATACTGAGGGTGCTCTAATTCTTGGACAAACAGATCGGAATCTCTTGGACAAACAGATCGGTAAGATGGCTTTGGGGGAGGCAGAAGAACCCAGGATGGGTCAAAAACCACAAGATCATATAGCTTGACCATGCTTGAGGTAACGTCGACAAAGGTATCCTGGTGCGACCCACAGCCCACAGCTAGACAATTTGGAATAATTTGGATGCGCATTTTGAGAATTTTAAGACTGTAGATCTACAGGTACTGACCAGCCAAGAGAGGTTAAATGAGTGACCTTATAGTACCCGTAACCTGGGGTGCCCAACAGGGATAGGGTTTTTCAACCTCTGTATGATGTGCAGTCAATGATTCGCCCTCTTTTCCAAAAACGGAGCTCTCCACAAGAACCGCGGTCCACGGGAATACTTTCTGGTGTGCACATTTGGGGCGGCATTTTTTCGGACACGTTTGTCCACCTCCACGCGCGACCGGTCTGACCAGACAGATCTCCTACACTCGCTCCGCGACCTGCGACGCTGCGCGTCCAGGGTTGCAGAAACTCTTCCGCGGATCGAGCCTGAAAGAACGCCAGGAGGCCTGCGATGGCCTGCGCATGACGAAGCTTAAAACCTCCGCTTAGATAAGCTCGCTTAAGACTGGTTTCGCAGCTTTGGGGTGATGTTTATGTTCTTTTTTTGCACGAGTGGAGACGCCATGTGTGCGGTGTGCACAGGTCATCTTTTGGGGTGATGTTTATGTTCCAAGTTCTGCGGTGTGATTTGGTATGACGTTGAGCGGGAAAGGGACTTGATGTCAAAACATGTTCGATCTGGTCGGTGCAGGTTTTGGGTGGCCCAGGTGGCCCACGTCCCGGGTCCAGCAGGATCCCAGTTGTAACGCAGTTCCTTTGCAGTTGACACAGTACACTACAAGCTGGTTTTATGGGAGAAGGTAAGACTACAGTGAATCAATCCTACAAAGCACACTCTCCTACCAATGTGCGAAATAGGGGTCACGCCTCCAAATGCGCTGCAACAGGCTGAAACAAAAACACGCACACACAGATATATATATATATATATATTGGCCCAAACCTGTTGATCTGAGTGGACATGTGCGCACTGGAAAGTGTGCAGCAGTTTCCCGTTTGGCCTCCATTTGTACCTTCGTTGGGTGCCAGGAGGGTTCTAAAAACCGAACCAGGTTGGAGGTACGACGAAGTCGGTGTAGACTCTTAGCCTAAGACAGGTGGAGGTGTAGACTGTAGAGTCCTGGTAGAGGTACTTGGAGGTGTATAACTTGCAGGTTCTCACAAACACTTGAAAGCCTGACCAGGTTCTTTTTGGAAACCCGCCCAACATCTGAACACATAGAACTTCCCCGGTCCGTGTGTTCGGCCCGCCTGCGACTCTGCTTTAAGCTTCGACCATTAAGAGAATGGGCAAAACATGGGTTAAACATGTCAAACATTTTGTTTAGTAACAATTAGTGTGTTGATATATATATATATATATATGTTGTTTCGTAAAGACCAGTGGTCAAAGAATCCCAGGTCATTGTTCATAAGTACGTCTCGCATGATGCGCGGGCAGGACCTTCCGGGGACCTTCTGGTACTCGTAACAAGCGGTGGTGTCCGTGCCTGCATTGAACTGTTCGATGCGGATTTCAACGCCTCTTCCGGCGTCAACGCTTGACGCCTCTTACCCGGCGGTTCCGGGTGGCGGCTGGGTTCTCGTGTCACCCCCTTTTACGTACACCGATCCCGATCCGGATCAACGGAGTGTGCGGGCCATCGGCCTCAAACTCAAGAACCCTATACGGATCCAGTCGTACCCTCTGAGGTTCGGTGGGACTGGGGTGGGTGCCAGGAGGGTCCAGTCGTACCGGAACTGCCTCGCGACCAGGCACGGAAGGTTGCAGAAGAGGCTGCGGCCGCTGAGTTGAGGCTGTGGCTTGGTGGCTGGTGAGTCAAGAAACGTTTGATCCATATTATGAAACGGGGATGGTTATTTAGTCACTTGGTAGGGACGTACTGTACATCGGTTCTCCATGATGTCAAGGAGATGTTCTTCAAATTCAGTCACGGGAAGCTGGGGTGGGCCATGGGTTTGGGTTTTGTTGCTCCATAAACCCCAAACACTAATTGGATTCGATCGCGCGGTCGATGTAAAAGGTGCCCGTCTTGACCAACGCACGGCGCAACGGCTCGGCGCAACCAACCACGCGGGCAAATCAATGGATCCCATTGCATGAGTAGTTCATTTCCCTAGGGCTCCAACCACCTGAGGTACGGTGGTTGGGGTGGATGTCAGGGGGGGTCTAACCACCTTTGCAGGATATCGGCCAGGAGCCCTCGGGTTTGGCAAAACATTGTTGTTCGCGGATTCCGAATCTGCTACAGTAAGTGCGTGTTCAGTTCAGTCTTCATCACTTTCAAACCCTGTCAGGCATCTTCAAAGTGGGCAAGACTGATGAATACTACAGCAGTACTACAACAGCATTTGGGTTTCTCCGTCCAGCCGCATGCTGGAACAGTTCTATTTGCTGTCGGGCCATCTACGACCTTCCGTTCGTCCGGATTCCGGTGGATTGACACCCCTTTTTCACCGGGTCTACGAGGCCTATAGACACCGGCCGAAGCTGTCAGTCCTGTGCCTACGGGGCGGTCCACCGGTCCGTTGTTTGTTCTGCACCCGTGGCGGACGCACCGAGACCGGCGAGACCGGCTCGGCGTCGGTCGATCGTTCGACCGTCCATCCGGGTGGTCGGGGTGGTCAGATGGCTTCGTCGAAGGAGTGGATGTTTATGTCCAAAGCCTCTGGACTCACTGACATGGAAAGATGATTCAAAGATCTCCAAACATGGAAGGATGTTCCTTTACCTTTAGCTGACTAGCTCGCGGACCCTTTCAGACGATGTTCCTTGACAGGCTGCTTTCCACTTCTATATGAGTGAGTCAGAGTGTGGTTTCTTTGCGGCGAGATTGGAGACACCCCACTAAAACATGTAGCAGATGATCACAGATGGACAGACAATACTATTTGTATGTTGCAGGGATCGAGCGACCATACGGTCTTGGGAGTGAGGTTGCGTTTGCGTTGTAGTTAGGCGTACCAAGAGAGGCTAAGTGACCGTATACAGGACCCGAGTGAGGTACCTACTATGGGATCAGTCTAGTACCAGCACCTTCCAACAGGTCTCCGGAGGCTGGTAATGCAAACATTTAAAGTCTACCGGTGGTGACCGGTCGACCGGGTCGACCGGGTCCCTGGTGAGGCGGCTCTTTCCCGAGCTGTTGCTGCCCGACAGGCTGAGCCACCGCGTGGGACGGTCGGACCGGCCCGCAAGACGCGGGAGGGTCCGGGGTCGCCGGAGTCACATGGAGTTGGGTGCCGGCTCCAAACAGAGGAAGGAGATCAGGGGCCCCTGTCACATCCACTCACTTAGATACCAAAAAGCACCTCAACATGTAACTCCGGTCCTGCTTTGGTTTGTTCATGTCCTAAACACGACCTGAACATGGGACTGCCATAATAGCCGATCAGTTGGGGTGGTTGACTTGTCGGGGTGTGTGTTGTTCTTGTGGTGATTTTGATTATATTTTATAAACGATTTTGTACGTGGTTGTGCCCAAGAATTGGAACACTGCGGCCCTGCGGCTGACTGATGTAGGAGAATACCGGAAGATGCACAAAAGCAATTCCCAGACACTCCATGGGACTGCCATATATGCTGCCCCAGACAAACTCCCCTGGCACCACCCCTGGCCTGATCGGCAGTCCTATGGCAGTCCCAGACGGGTCGTGATTGGGATTTGATTTGGCGCATGCTTCAAGCATCCTTGGACCCTCCGGGGCAGGGGTCGTAGGTGTTTTTTTCCCGAACGAGAAGGGCCCAGATTCTCAGGGAGAGATTGTGTGTGTTTGTTATGCGGATTGGTTGATGTGTGGGGGAATTCAGATTTCATTCATGCATCCATCCAATCACCCGAAGATTCGGATAGTTGCTGCACCCACTGAGACTCCACTGAGACAGTTGCTAGCACCGACTCTTTGCGACCGCAGCCGGGATTTTGTCCAAACGACTCAGCAGTCGCCGCACCACTGCGCTGAACTCTTTCGCGAATTCTTCCAGAGTGAGGCTGACCATGATGTCGTTGCGCTTGGCTCCTCAACCCGATGTTTGCGGGCGGGCGTGGCCCGTGTTCCGTGCCCTAGGGCTCCTGGCCCACATCCTCAGGTTCGGTGGTTGGGTCCCCACCTTCTGAGGATATGGGCCAGGAGCCAAAACCGGATGTGCAATTGGGTGACAATACAAACTGGGTTTTGGAGGGGGGAGAGAATCCGCGCTCGTGTACCAGCAGCTATGTAGTATGCCCATACACTCCATGAGACTGGAATCAGACTGCCGCCCCGACCCCAGGTCAACAACCCCAAGGTACGCAGTCCTATGGCAGTCTCTGATGGCGGTCGTGTCTGGGATGTGAGATTTCCACCCAATTCCGATATCCGTTCGGGTCGAAGATGGTGCGAATCCCAACCATGTGTGCCACTATAGCGCTCAAATCCGCACGATCGATGGTGAATCATCGCACAGATCCATGTGCGGCCTGCATATACTGAATGAGAGTCCGGATTCCTTTCACGCGGTCTGCAGGATGTCAGGTCTCAGGTGCTTCATGCGGCAGATAAGGCAGTTCTGGGATTAGCTGAGGTTCCTTCACGCCATGTTGAACCCCACGTGGCCTGTCTGTCCATTGTCCATTCGATTTCGGTCTGTTCACGTGGCGCATCGGGTCCGGCCTCAGCTGAGGTTCTTCTGGCCATGTTCATGTTCTTCATGGATGCCGTGATCGCCAGTGAGAACACGACCACCGAGACGACCACCACGACCGAACTCGACGGCAACACGACGCAGGAGAGTTGGTAGCCAGGGGTGGTCCAGAAGAGGTGCTTTTGACCGATCGAGGGAGGATTGCTTGGAGGTGTTCCGGTCCGTGTATCTTAAACCTCAAGTATGTATTGTGACATGACATAGCGTATAATACACATCAAAGTAGATGGAAGCCTGTTTTCTGTTTATAACTTTATCCATGGGTCTATTTTGGGGACCTCACTCTTTCATAGACATCAACAAATTCTAGTGTATCAGTCTCTACTGCCCCTACAGGTCAGTTGGACCTCATTCTACTGGAGTTGGTCATACACAAAGACTACTCGAGTTGAGAAGGTAATGAGGTAAGTGACCAGGTTCGGACTTTTAGGGTACTATGAGCATTCACTTGCAAGAACAAGAAGTCGCCCCCTCGTCGTGGAGCGTTCTGGATATGCTGGTGCTTTGGTCAGGGTGCTGACAGTGCTGACAGCAGGTGCACATCATCTCGGCAAGAGACCCTAAAACATCCCGCCAAACCGTGTGAAGTAGAAGGGATGAGAAGGACACAGACGATGTGGCCAAGCCGAGAAACACACATTATTGGCCATGAGTCAAAACGTTTTGGTATGGAACATGTACTCTTGAACATCTCGTTCCATACCCCGTTCCATACCTGTGGAACAGCATGTTTGTTCGCCGTTCCATACCCATCATTCCATACCTATATATGGGAGTTGATCGAAAACCCCGTGTAAGGAGTTTTATATAAAACAGCCTTTCAGATGTTGTTAGAACCATCCGCGAAAGATTCGCGATGAGGTTCGTGAAAGTATCGTTTTTTTCCGCGAAAGATTTATCGAAGGTCATCGTTTTCATTGTTTTCCTTTCTACCGGACTGACAAAGAATAGAAACGCAAGGCAATCCTCCGGCAGAGCCAGTGGGCGAAGTGTCCCCATGTCACAGACTAACGAACTGAAGCCTCAACCTTTCCGTGCCCAGCCCTGGCAGTGCGTAAAGGATTCTCCGATTCCTGTCCCCACTGTCACATACTAGCAAGCTGGGTAGGCGCAGCCCTGACAGTGAGGCAACGACCTGCCGCTGCTCTGACGGGCTGTGCAGATGTTTGCAAATGTTACGGCGTCCCGGGGAAAGCACCAGTGAAATTTCGCGAATGATCCGCGAAAGTTTCGCGAATGTGCCGCTAAAGTCTAGGTTCCCAGCTTGAGGCCCCAAACATTCCCCAAGCTGCATCACCCTGTGTTGGTAGCTGACACGAGGATTGGGTTGAGTTGTGCCTGACTCTATTTGGCACAATTGTCGCACAGATGCTGCAAGTGACCCTGAGTAGCTGTGGAAACGTTCAACCATCTACAGGGGTCATGCTGCAAGATGTCTCTCCCTATTATGACATGTTCCGGCTCATGTTAGCTAGACATGGTTGTAGGACCATGCTTCGCGATGAGGCCGCGAAAGATCCGCGAAAGATATCTTTTTTTCCGCGATGAATGGCCATTCCAGGATGAAAGAATATTGATCAACCACCATATGGACTCCTAGTTTACACTTGTTCGAGGTTCAATCAAAACGTGCGCTTTGCTTGCTGAAATACATTTACCGTGAGAAACGGGACTGAGATAATGACACGTCAGGTTTTTTGGCACAATTTGTTCCATACCCCCGTTCCATACCTGTTCCATACCTTATGGAACAAGGGATCCGTTCCATACCCTATGGAACAGGAAGGTGCGCGATGTTCACCTGAGACCCGGGGTTTTGACGCACACCCTGACATGTCTACACATGTCGACTACTGTTTTGGGAGGTTTGCTTCATCGATCAAAGACCGACGTTCTATCTGCCTTTGTGCTAGCTTTTGCTCATATTTGCTTTTAATGAGTGTATTCAATTGTAGAGGGTGACGGTTATTATCCCTTCACTGGAAGAGTTCCCTTCTGTCTTTGACACGTTTAACACGCGACGTGAGGCCGGCTTCGAGTCCGAAGCGCGTAAGATCAAGCCAGACCAGACGATGTGTGGGACTGGAGATTAGTTCACATGAAAACCCCATGAACATGACCCCATATATAGGCAATGAAGTCCCATGGATGGTCTGGGTCATATTTGTCCCCTTCTTACAACGGCTTCGACGGAATTCCGAGCGTTTTCTTCAGGCGGAGACGAGCGATCGCTCCGGAAAAGAAGGGTACTGAACCCTAAGAAGGATCCAGTCGTACCGAACCTCAAGTTCGGTACGACTGGACCCTCCTCAGGTTCGGTACGACTGGACCCAACCCCACCGACAAATAACAGTGGAGACAACACATCACCTTCTGACCAAAATACCTTCTGACAAAGTCCTATGATCCTCGGATCGCTGGGGCTACCCGACCACACGCCCGCGCCCGGCTCGACGCCGCATGACGGCGCCACCGCGCGGAGACCGCGCGGAGACGACGCGGAGGACCCCAACGCGACGACCACAGCAGATAGCGCCGTGCTGGGTCTTGGAGCCCATGCAGCGCCCTCCGTGGCCCTCGTCTCGGACGCTTGGAGTGATCGTCCGGACCGGGCCACAGGGAGATCCGAAGTGTTCAAAACGCTCAAAGGGCTTTGGGGGGATCTCCCTCTTCACATCCACACCCACTGAAGATCCCACCTCAAGTCACATAGTGATGTGACAACGGGGCACCTAACCTCCTTCCTCCGTTCGGAACCGGCACCCAACTCCATGTGACTCCCACTGTAGTACCTTGATGTGCCTCAGCTTTCCTCGAAGTCGCCCCTTCCGATGCGAAGGTGTCCTCCCACCGAACCCATCTTCGAAGTCTCCGCCGAACCCTGCAGACAGTCCCCTGCAGACAGCGCTTGCTTCGCACCGAACCCTGCAGACTTCCGGACCGGATTTGAATATATTTGACGTTTCAGGACCGGACTTCTACTGGGTCAGCTGTAGAACTAAATGGATGCTCATGGCTCCGAGCTCAGAAGACTCGACCTGGGTCAACTGGATCAGGTCAGACGTACGCTTCAGACTGAAACGACGAACGTTTGTGGGACATTTGGTACTCGAAAGTGAGACACAAGGCTACTAGGGGCTCCGGCCTTACTACTAGGAGCAAAAGAAGCTACTATAGGGGCTCCTGGCATCGCTACGAACGGAGCAAGGACGCTACTTGATAGGTTCTTGTTGAGATGGACGAGACATGACGAGACGACGAGACCCCATGGATTCTCTCCCAGACACCGCAACGCGGACTGGTGTCGCACCTGGAGATCCAGAAATGGATGGAACGAAACCCAGTCCCAGCAACTTGGTATGTAAAGGATCTCGATTGCTATATTGATCTTGGAACAACCAGAACTGTTTCTGGTCGGGACTGGATTTCCAGGCATGAGTCCCTGAACCACTGCTTCTGTGGGCGGTCAATATGAC